CATCAATCGCTTTGTTAGAATAAGTGTAAATAAATGTAATTTTATTTTATTTGAAATATGTACACAACCGACTCTATAAAGCGTAGGCAATAGATTTCCTGGTAAATTAGTTCTATTTATGCGCTTCCTTTTCTAATTTAAGGGCCATCTAGTCTTGGTTGATTGCGAACCTGACAATCGTTTGTCTAAAATATGCACGACAAATTAGAAATGAAGAGTTATCAAGCCACATCAAACTTAGTTTACCTTTGCTATGAATGGACCTGCCATCGAAGCCACTTAACCGTTTATTCGTTTTCGTCCGAGGACTAGTGGGGATCCGATCTTTCCTGTTGTCCAGCTTGACTGTGAATAAATGTCATTGTCCTTCCTTCTGAATTCTGGCAGGGTTAACTGGTCAAAATGAAAGTTCATCCGCTACAACTGATCTTGAATTTATAATCATGCCAAAGGACTGCCTAAACGACCACATACGCCCAAATGTGCAATCGCACGCTAATACGAATGTGTATATGTATGAGAGTGTATGCATGTCTGTGGGTATGCCTGCACCAATGTAAGTGTAAGTATTTATTGTATCTGCGTATGTCGCTAGGCTATGGGGGTATGAGGTGATGTGGAGTAATGCTTTCTCTCTCCACCCCATTCAACCGCTTCGTAAGATGAAGATTTTCGAAACTAGCCAAATGGCGTCACTATGCGCAGCTATGACGCCCCCAATCCTCAACTACCATTTTTCTACAAGCAACATGTCGCCATCGGAGCCCGACCCCCCAATGGGCTCGGGCACGCAGGTAATCAAGCTTTGGAGGATAGAATTTATGAGATTACTCCCGCGATGGATGCCTGCCTCTCGGTCCTTTCTAGCTCCACTAGGCTAGCATTTGTCTGTACATTCTCGGGTCTATCTTGTAGCTCTAGAATTTACATGTCCTGCTCTAGATAGTCCCTCACCTAGGATACGCCAAATAGCATAAAAGCTTAAATTTGTCGTTGGTGCCACCTAAAGATACCATATTCGAGCCCCAAGCAAATGGAATAGCCAGTCATTGTTTAATAATTTTGACGGGCAATTTGCATTTTTCATCTTTTTCGCCACTTTTATGGATTTCGGGACAAGATCTGATCAAAATACCCTTTACTTTTATCGTTTATTTCTGTATTCTTTTCAGAGCTAGTCATGCTAAGCAGTTCTGTTATCTTATCTAAGCTGAAATTTCATAAAACTTTGGTATTTCAAACGAATATGGTATCATAAATTGCAAAAAACAACTTAGTCACCCTAGGCCTCTTAAAGTGTTTTACTGACTGACAGTTGACTCTTCCCACAATTAGATGGGTAGACCTCACGACTTCATTGAAGTTTGGGTTAACCTCGTTGTCGCAACTTGGTCTTGTTGTCGCGGAAACTATGTAAAACGCATCTAGTCCGAAGTCGTCATGGTTCCCGGCACCAGACAGTGTACTTGGTACATTCTCAAATGTTTCGCCTGCACCATCAGTGAGTTTTGCCGGCGAAACGTTTGAGAATGTACCAAGTCCACTGTCTGATGCTGGCAATCATGACAACTACT